CAATGCGTGCATTTATTCTTCTGTTGGTTTGTCCGATGTATGTGGTGGGGCAGTCGGTGCATGGGATTTCATATACTCCTTGATTTTCTAACTCAATTTTGTCTTTGGGGTTTCTTAGGATGGTGGATATTTTTCGGTTTGTGCAGAATGCTGTCTTGATGTTGTGTTTGTGGAGGATCTTGCTGATTCTGTCTGTGGTTAATCGGGTTTTCTCCCGCGTAAAATTGGAAGTGTCTTGGCGACGTTTTGACGAAGTCCCATTCGTCATCTTCAGGCTGATGTCTTCAGCTTCGTGTTTCTAGGAGTAATGTGTGATCGCAGCTGTTTCTTCCTTTTAACTGCCAGTGGGGTTTGAACTGATTGGGTGGGAGCTTGGCTGTGTTCTGATTGGGTGGAGGTGTGTTCTGATTGGTTAAGGAGCTTAGCTGTGCTCTGATTAGATGGGGGGTTGGCTGTGCTCTGATTGGATGGGGGAGTGTTCTGTTTGGGTGGGGGCTTTGTTGTGCTCAGGTTAGTCTGAGTTGCAGGGGGATTTGAGATGGTGAGCTTCATTGCTGTTGTTTGGCTTCGTGTTCGTGGTATCCAGCCGCTTTTGCTCTTTGATCCCCTCCCCCCTTTCTTCTAACCGAGCCTGAATGTCCATCCCAGAGTTGAATTCAGGGCACGCTACAGATTCATTGTCCTCTCTGGGGGTCGCGGTTGTTTCATCTACAGCCACGCTGTTCTGATCCTGCAAGGAACGGGGTGGTTGCATTCGTCGTGAATTACGGTGCTGTCCCTCCCACCCTGAGTGTCTGGTAAGCAGGTAGTAGGTCTATGCGTGGAGGACTCCGTATAAGTAAACTCCCAGATCCTTTACTTTCACTCTGACGATGTCGGCAGTTTGGCAGTTTACCTATCTATCATCATCATCAAACTTCTCTCTCTCTCTCTCTCTCTCTCTCTCTCTCTCTCTCTCTCTCTCTCTATCTATCTATCTATCTATCTATCTACCTACACACACACGTACACACAAACACACACACACACACAAACACATATATATATATCCTCTATTTTTAGTGTTTTAACAATCCCCAAGCAATTTTTTCATTACAAATATTGAGCAATCTTATAAATGCAGAGTGATGTATAGTTATCATATAGAGGTTGTACTTATAACTGAAAACACATTTAATAACTATATTTAACTGTTCCATTAATGAAGGCTAAAACTGGGAGTGGGAGCTTTCTCACTGAGAGCTGTGCGCTTCATTTCCAAAATGTTCATGTCTGCAATCACTATTGTATTTCTTTACGTTTGCCCTGAAGAATTTAGCACTTTAGTTCTACTGGCACTTGGAGTACACCAGTTTTTGGCTAATGCATTGTGCCCTGATGGCTTTTTAAACTGGTTCCTTTTGGGGGGAAAATAATGTTTTTATTTTCAGAAAAATGTGTCATTGTTTCACAGAGATATTTGTAATAACATTGAGACTCAGGAAGGACAATATTGCTTGATGTGGCAGCCATGTATAATCTTTATAGTGTCAACATGTTCCTGCTCTAGATCAGTGACATTCCTTTGTATGTGGAAATAAATGTCTACGTTATTATTTTCTGCTTTTTTGTTTCATTTTGTTTTCTTTTGCCTTACATAGAAGAAAACAAAATCTGCAATCATCAATTCTTCTTAGAAGCTATGAGTTCTAAAGAATCAATCTATGACACAACTTCCGAATTCTTTCCATGTGAAAAAAAGAGCAACAAGGATAAACTATCTAATATAGTTATGAAATAGTAAAACCAAAACATTTCAAAAGCTAGCCAGATGAAAGTATATGTCATTATCCCCTCTGTCATGGTCAGATCATGCCCTGGTGGCTATGAGATTTTCCAGTTCAGCAGGGAGGTAGGATCTATTCAAATGGTCTGCCCTTGGTGACTAATGGACCTCCTTGAATTTCATAAGGAGCTGGGGATAACCCCTATAGAGACTTTGGCCACAGTCTGGAATCAGAAAGCTGCCAAGGACTTAAACAAGATAACACCTGTGCACCTTGCCATCAGTCCTGAAACTCCCCACGGTTTACAGAGGACCTAAGGGTGCTGAAAAGGACCAAAAACAGCAAGAGCACTGTTGGAGAAAAAATAAAAACGAATTCAACTGGACAAGGATCAGAGTCACAATTAAGGCCTACCTCATTACAATAAGAGTGGTGAAACATCACTATTTCTCCAATCTTATTGTATCTGTAGAATGTTGCCCAACAGCTCTGTTCAAGATCACTAAGGCCCTTCTTGGGAAAGCGGGCCAGTGTAAGAGGCCTGCTATGGATCCCATCTATTAAGGAATTCCAGCAGGTGGGTTCAACAAGTGTATTTTCCGCTGTGGCCCCATCCCTGTGGAACACTCAAACACTGGAAATGAGAACTTCTTCCACCCTTTTAGGCATATAGCTTTCACAAACTGCATAGTCATATTAGGCTGAATTCTACATGCATGTATGGTTTATTCTATTTGTCTTTCCTGCAGCTTCCTCACTGAAAATAAATATAATGTATATGCTTTATATAAATTGGGTCTTTGGCAATCTGAGCAATTTTTTAAACAGTATTTTTATAATGGCCTCTTTAGTAGTGGAATTCCTTCACCAAAGAAATTCTTCATACATAATTATTCACTTCATCACTTTTAACAAGTGCTGCAAAATGAGGAAAAGTTTAAATCCAAGAAGTTTGGAGAATATAAACTAACCTTGAATTTATGTAATCAGTATTGAGAATCAACCGCTAGCCTAACTGGCATTTGTTTAATAAATCTGCAGCCCAGCAAAAACAAGGCTCAGTTCAATTAATAAGGTGGTTAAAGGATCCATTTAAAAGATAAAAAGTGAAACTCACTATATATCTTGGAAAGGAGGCTGATTGATTACTTTATATTGATATATTTTATCACAATTTAAACTGTTCCTGGAAAGCCATCATTTGTGTGTGTGTGTGTGTGTGTGCATGTACATACATGTATGCGTGTGCCCGCATATGTAGGATAAGTGTAGTTACAGTTTTTGAAGTGTCAGACTAGTTTTAGAAGTCCCGTTTATAAAGTGCTTGATGCAAATCACTGGCTTTCAGCCTAATCTACTTAGTAATGGGTTGAAATTCTCTCTTAAATATAATTTGACAAGAATAAATCTTGAAGAAATAAAAGTCTGCAATAGGAATGAAACACTATTATGAATAAATTAATAAATGTTGCTTTTAAAAAAAGTCTCACATGGATACCATTTGGAGAAAATATATGCTTGATATTTTCACAATGACTGGAAACCATCCCATAACTATTTTCTAGATAACATTCCCTAGACTACACTTATTATTCATCGGAGAGGTTGTCTCTGCCTCTCTGTGTGTCTCGCTCTGTGTGTGTGTGTGTGTGTGTGTGTGTGTGTGTGTGTGTCCTTCCCTCCCTCCTTCCCTTCCTCCCTTTCTCTTCCCCCCTCTCTCTGTGTGAGTGTGTATGTCTGTGTATGTCTGTGTGTCTTATCAGATTCCCAAGAACATGCTAGAGGGTTATTAATTTATTTGCTTTGAAAGAAGGAAGCAGTTCCAGAATAGCTTTGATGAAGTAAAATAAAAGCTATTAGATGGATGGGTAAGATAAGGTGTTCCTGTTCATAATTTTAAAAGAGTAAAAATATAGAAAAACATAATATATATCAGGTCAAAGAACTTTAAAATAGATTAATTGCAACTACACCTACACACACACATACAAATTTTATATAAACACCCACACACATATAAAGCAAATGGTAATAAATGACTTACATGTTCTTGTTCCTGTTGTCAAAGTTTTAAGAGGCAAATTCTCAACGTCTTCTACAAATAAGAAAAAAATATTAAAACATTTATAGTAAATCCAAGTCATTCTTTAAAATAGCATGAAATTAAACCCCAATGAAAATTCAGTACACAACAAAACCCTATTATTTTAAAGGCACTTTTTGAGATATTAGATATTCCGCTTGTAGAGGATAGAAGCTGTACATAGATAAATAAAGAGTATCATATCCAGCCCTTAATATAAAAAAAACACTGGAAAGGGAAGAGTTAATAGATCCACTAAATGTAGAAAGCATCTAAATATCCTCCTAAAGCCAGCAGGGGGTGTTGTTCCTGAGTTGTGGTTGTCAAATTCCTGCAAGGCATGACCTTGGAAAAATTCTGACAATCTTGCCTGGCTTTGATTACATGATTTTAGGTTCTCTCCTTTTCTTCTTTCTTTCCTTACCAAGAGAGTCACCCTCTGCTTCATTTGTTTAAAAAAAAATGAAGAACAGAGGGGAGAAACTTGAAATGCAAACATTCCCTCCACCCCGCAAGAATTTTATAGTTCCAATTTACACCACGTTCACACTACCTGGAGCAATCTTGATTTCCACTAAGACTTCAGAGTTCTCCTTGTAATCCATTAGTCACTTCCCTTAAGAATCAATCTTTATAGCCAACGGGGTAAAATAGGCCCAGATGTGTATGTAATGTTAGATGCTCTGACATATACCTGGAAATCATACTTTTTCTCTTTTAAAAATTCTTAGAAAGTATAGAATGAGTGACACACACACACACAGAGAGAGAGAGAGAGAGAGAGAGAGAGAGAACCTTGATCATGGAAATGGTTATATAACGTGTAGCTAATGTATAATTGTGGTATCATTCTAATTGGTATTTTCAATAAAATAACCTAACTGCTTGCTTGTTTTATCTTCAGGACAGTGATTATGCCAATCACTTCTGAGTTCAACCCTGACTTTGTATTAGTATCAGCTGGCTTTGATGCTGTGGAAGGACATGAACCTCCTCTGGGCGGGTACAAAGTGACAGCTCAATGTATGTATTCATTTTTCTTTTTAAAAAAAAATCCCTGTGCACTGACATTATTTTAGGCAGTTTCATGTAGTCCTTTCTTATTTTGACCAGATTGCTGTCATACGTGTGAATTCAACAAGCCAAACTAAGCCAATTTGAGAAAACCTGTTCCACTGTTTTACATAATACATACATACATACATACATACATACATACATACATACATATGTATATATATATATGTCAACAGTTAATTTCTACCCCTACAAAATAGGTTTTGTTTTTCTGTCTCATTTAAATGTTGTTGTTATCGGTGATATTTTATTAATACTGAAAGTGTTGTCTGGTACACATGCACCTCCTATACAAACAGCATTTTTCCTAGGTTTCATATCCAAGCACCATGGAAACTTACCAGGTTGCCTTCTCTTGCATTGCATTTGAAGTGTGAGAAACTAAGAAGGTTTCTGACAGCTGAAAATATAATTGCACAATGGAAAACAAGATGTTCATGCACACACTTAATATCAGTTTTTTGTTAGTAGTAGGAGTGCAGAGAATGAAAACAGGCAAATGCCACTTAAAAGCAAATGTGGAAAATGACAGGCCAGATTAGTATCACAGAGAGAAACATGAGAAAAGAGCATGCTTCATCTTAACCCAAGAGAAATATCAATTTGGGAATCAGTTTCAAAAGTCAGAGAGTATCAACTTTATTATAATTTTTAAAGTATACATATTTAGTTCCGCAATATTTAGTTCTAGCTATCTGTTTCAGGTCTCTGGGAGATTTTACCAAATTCATCCCTGCTTTGGGGGATTCTGACATGTGACAGAATAAAACAAAAATGGATGAGTTTCGATCATATCATCATGGCGATTATCTTTTGACCACACCTTACAGATCCTCTGGAAGGGGTCCAAATTCTGTCACCTGAATTTAACACTTAACTGTGCTTCAGCCATAACATATTGACAGAACCTTATATGAACCCTTAGTTGTCCTTCAGATGATGTGCCAGAATTGTCAAAAGTAGTAAGCAGAGCAAAACCTAAATTGATTTGATTTTACATTTGATTATATATAAATGTATTTAGTATTAATTCTTTGGTGATATAACATCCCCCTGCTGTCCTAGTAAACTTTTCAATTTGGTAGCAATAGGGGGTATTTTTGAGCGCTATACCACAAATTTATGTGTGGCCCTGGGCATCAGATTGCACACCACTCAGGTAAGGCTGATTTACTTAGGATGGAACCATTGAGAGGAAATTTTTGGCACTGTTAGAGTTGCAAACATGCACATATCATTTTTTCAATAGTCTGCCATTTGTTAAACAAATATGTAAACAATAAAGTAATTTTGATCTATTTTTTATCATGATTTCCCAATTGTTTTCTTTTTGTCACTTCATTGAACATAGCAGAGAACGTTTAAAATACCTTAATCGCTCTAGTTGTCTTATCCTTGCTTAGACCTCTCATTCATTTGGCAGAATTAATTGGTGAGAGATTTTTGTTGTTGTTGTTGTTCCTCAATGCCCTACCTTATAGCACTCTCTTCATTTGAATCTGACTCATAAATCTTATTCCAGGATTAGAACACTTTTGTTTTTTATTGACTCACACTGTCATCTTGCTGCCAGAAAGATCCTTCTTTCTATTGGTTTTAAAAATGCCCTTTTAATTTGAAAAAGAGCTGACCGAATCCACAGCATGGTTCAATATTTTCTTCCAACTGCAAGACAAAAAAATTGCAGAAAAATACAGAAGAAATGTTTGGCATGATGTTATGTGGAAGAAAAACTACACCAAAAGTACTAAAACAGCAATGAAAAGAAGAAAACAGTAATTAGAAACAAACTTCAGTTATAAAGCCGAACACGCGATTCCTCAGGACCCACAAAAGAAGTGTGACAGTGTTATGAAGTCAGATAAACAGATTTCATAAGATTAACATCTAACTAACCATTGCCATTTTATTTCAGTAAACTGCATCATATGCACTGCAATAGGTATTACCCTTGAAAAGAGTTGCTAAAGTTCTGGATTAGACTCAAAGTAGTTTTTATTTCCATACACAGCAATAGTTGATGTCAGTGGGAATGTTGTTTAGAGTCATGGCCCGCAGTTCTTTTTTTTTTCACATTATATTCTTTATCCAGTACTAATTAGAACATTTCCTTTCTACTGCCAGATATTATTATTATTTTCTTCGCTGTTAAGGTTTTTTTTAAACAGAAACAAAGGAGTGATGTTCAGAATGATGTGAAGTACCATGTCATTTGAGAAGGAAGATGCTCTATTACTCATACAGTTTAATGCATCCCATCGCATATGTAGATTCTTGGCTGTGGAAATGAAAAAGAGGTTTGGCACAGGGAATATGTGTTTGGCACATTCTATATTTCTTTTTACAATTCTGTTTCCAATATTTCTGATCACCTATATTCTTATGACACAAAACCATTTGAATGATTCATTTATTTTCAGACAGAATTTTTAACATTGCATAATTGGTTTGTCTCTGTCCCTACTTAGTTTTTTCTTCTTTTCTTCTTACCACTTCTCATTCATATTGTTTTATTTCTATTTATGTTATTGTATTTATTACTATTGCAATTTTTAATTCTAAAAAATATTTTTGTTTGTACTTCTAGATCCTTTCCCTGTTATGCAAATGCTTTAAGAGATAATGAATATATTCTAAGATAAAACAATAATATTTAACATAGAAAACAGTACATATAAAATAAAATATTATTTTATAGTTTTCCAGGTTTATAAGCTGATGGAAAAAAGTATAGAAAAAATTAAAAAATTAAAGAAATATTACTAATAATACTAACAATGAAAAATAGTTTTATGTCCATCTATTCATTGGTTTTTATGCAAAGCATACAGGAACAAAAATGCAAAGTGAAGCTGTTTTCTGGGGCAACATATCTGAATAAATTTAAGATGAATATGCAGCACATCTTTTTTTATGACAGAAGAGCAGAATTGCTTCTAGCAGTTTCTGCCTCAGATGCCAAAATAACTATCACTTGGACAAAATGTTGAAGACATCATTTGCTGCTATGGATAGGGAGAAAGTGTTTAATTTAAATGTTAATCTAAATATGAAAAATATGCTTTCAAACCAAAATGCAGCTGTATTTTAAATGTAAAATTCAGGTGAAGATGAGGGCAATAGTATGCGTATTAGAGACAGTATGACATTAAAAAGCTTTATGTTACTGGAAATTCCATGCGGAGTGTACATTAAGTGAGATTATGTTAAAAAAAATAATGCTTTAAGAAACATGTATACAAAGAATTGTATAAATTTTAAAGCAAAGTTTAACTGATGTAAAAATGAGACAAACTAAAATTAAGATTTGGACAGAGAGTTGTGAAAATAGGACAAAGAAGAAGCAGTACATATGTTTCCTGCCTTGAATTATTTATAAAAATAATAAATGTAAGAAAAAAAAAAATCTAAAAACAAATAAAAATATTTGATTCATCTATAATGTACTGAAGTATGAAACTGTTTTAGAAAGGCTTTTGCTAGCAACATTTTTAAATTTTGTAATTATTAATTTATATATTCAATTTTATAAAAATAATAGAAAAAGGATTTTCCTTCTTTTTAGTTTTTAAAAATTGTTTCTTTTTCTCATATATGAGATAAAAGGCTTTTCCTTTCTAACTCTAAATATTTTCATTCCTAGTATTTTTTTATGTTTTAGTGTTCTTGATTTATATGGGAGACACAAATATATATTAATATCTCATATATGTTTCTTGTAAAGTGTGTGACCTTTGCTAGATTGTTCCCTTTTCAATTGGTTTCTCATAAAACTGTCCAGATAAAGTGCACAATCCTTGAACAGTGATACTACTTGATTAACCCAGGTAGTTATCAAGCTGTCAGGTGGCAACTGTATTGATGGTAAACAATAAAGTGTCAAACAAAACATTGAAAGTTGGGCCTTTTGGTCTTCCATGGGAAGGCTGAACTTAGTGACTTGTTAAAACTTAGCTCTTGTTTCTTATCTTAAAGAAAATATTTGGCACTAGGGCAAAATGGAATAATAATTCATGGTAAAGAAAGATTGCCCAGAGTGATGTTTGGTACTTAGTTACTGCTATATCGTTAATGATGTTACTAATGTACCAATGCATTTAATATATTAGCCATTGAATATAAATAAATTATTGAATATTTAGCCATTGCTATCCATTTTTAGAGGTATCCATTATTATTTTTAGAGGTAACTTGCAAAATTATTTTTTTCAAAGGATTTTTGTTTTAACTGAAATATAACCCAAGAGTTATATCAAAGGAATGGGTGAAGATGGAAAAATACAAGGGGACAAGTTGAATCACAAGGAGAAAAAAATGAAAATCAACAGTGCAATATTTATTAGATCAATTGTGACAATCAAAATTTCACTTCCAATTTTTAAGATCCCTTTTCCTGCTGAATTATGTAAGGAAGAGAAAAACCTAGCAACATACATCTTTCCCTCCATTCCTAAATTGGAATTTAAGAGAATTTATCAGAAATAACTGGATGAGTTTCTGATGTGTTATAAAATATTGTTAAATGCATAATTGAGGTTTCAAAGCAAAAATAAATGCTTTTCCATGTTTAATAATATAAAATCAAGTTATTTGATTCTGTTTCAAGTACCAGTCTTTTGAAAAGAAGGGAAATGAAGTTACAGAATATGGGAAAAGTAGTCGCTAAAGTTTTAGATGATGCAGTAAGTAAACAAAGAAATAATGTAATGTATGGATGCGCTTTGTTTACTTATCGTGTGAATCATCACAACGTATTATGATAGGCCTAATAGAAGTTGCTAAAATACTTACAAACATTTAAAAATAGCAGAATTATTTTCAGGGAGGAAAGTAAAAGAAATGCAAACTTGCATTGGCAGTTCTTTGGAGGTGGGGAATGCAACTTCTTGTTTGCTTGTTCAGCAGCTGCATTTCAAGCTGTGACAAGCTGTTGACACTTCTAATCT